GGCGCCGCACATATGTTCTAATTGTTCAAAGGAAGTTTTAAGCGGATCTAGGCATTGATTCTGGGCAAAGTTAGCGAACATAAATTTTTTTACATTTTTTACTTAATTTTTTAATTATTGTTTAATGCAACGATCCTGCATCTAGACGTGGTGAGTCATTAGTGGATGGGGTTAAACTTGGATAAATTGTAGGGCGACTTCTTGAATGACGAGGTCTGCTTTTACGCCGGAATTGTGACCTCATTGGCGGATTTTGCACGTTGTTCATTGACAATAAATGCCCAAGCAGTTTGAAGCTAATGCAGTAAACTGACAATGGAACGATCGTCATTTAAGACCCGGCCAGGCCTCTTCCCTCAGACCCTCGTTGAGTGATTGAGCACGTATCACCGCGTAGGAACGAAGTATAAGAGCTAAAGCTGCAGTCGCCAATTGGTTATGGATGTATATATAACCTTACAAGTTAAGACAGAAATGGCTTCAGGCAACCGCGTACTGTAAACACAGTGACAGAACGGGACCACCAATGTCCCTCTTGGAAATTTATGAAATACCGACAATCCGATGATTACAAACGTTCGCAAGATATCCTCAAGCTCTGAAACTTGTTCAACGATTTTTGTGCTCAATGGATTTCACAAGTACCAAATACCTCAGATCGATGGCCTAGTAAAACTGACTGCTAGATCCTTCACGAAGAGGGTATCAATGGTCGCACTAAACGACCTCTGCGTAAGGTGTTTCGTCCGTATGGTTTTTGTTCATGCGAGCTCATATACAGTAACTGAGGAAACAGTATAATCAATGTAATCCGTGACATTTCATAAGTTTTCGAAATATAGGTCTAATGACAAAATTTTTAGGATCTCGGCTTACTTTCAAAGTCTCAGTTGAAAATTCATATGTTAATATTCATAACTGTTTCATAGTAAAATGATAGAAAAGATCGAGAATTGAATGGCTTCTCGATGCATGACTGGATACTTAAACAAAAAGAAACGTCGGAACGGTTTTCATTAAAATTCTAATTACTTAGTCAACGAAAACGGCAACATCAACCCGAATGAACTCATCCCTCCCTTGCCTACGTTATTTTGAAGAAACGAACCTTTAACCTCGTTATTTGACGTGCGGCTGATAACCACGTAACCATTCGAAGCACCGTCAAAGAACGGAAATTAGTTTGAAAGTTTATGCAAATCAGTGACTAGTTAGCAAGTACAGCTTGTAGGCCACAACTGTTCGTACTTGCAAATCATGCGATTCTGGAGACGGGCTGTCGATAGTGCACTTCACTCTCCTGTGGCAAGCCTCATGCACCCTCATAATTGATGTGCAGGAAAACGTTGCGAACCAGATAACGCCGAACAATGGTGCCGAGAATTATCTCAGGTCCATGCGGTGTATATAACGATACGTCCGGATGAGGTAGTATGAGGTAGTAAGTAATAGCAACTAGAAGTAAAGAAACGCTTCGCTGGCGTAACGCTGAAAACGTCATATGACCTTAGCCATGTTCTAGTGTTGCAACCAGTTGCAGTGCAGTCGAGCAGTCGCGATGGAAACTCGAGATGAATGTTCGTTGAGAAAATAATGAGCGAGGAAGTGGCGACGTTTCGACAAGCTCAAACGCAGGTAAGTCTGGTTATTGTTTATTTTATGCTCGGGTTGTTGGACAATGCATTGAAGGAAGGTTGTCGAAAACATGTGTCAAATGTAGATGTCATTCACGAGTCTGTGACTTGACTCTGAGGGCATGAAATTTTGGCTGAGGTAGTCTACCGACACATTGCATTACGGAGCTGGACTCGAAGAACTGCCATTCAAAATAATATTTAGCCTTTTATAAGAAGGCGAGAAAACAGGGCATAAGATTCGAACTACTTCCAACTACAGAACTCGTGCATTCCTACGGCAAGTTCCACTATCGAATAGGCGTTCTACTGCGGAAGTAAAGGACTACATGAATGTTAAATCGAAATAAAGATCGGAAACTCAGCACAACCTCAGCAGTAGGTTTTGAAGAAAGTTGACGTTGCATTC